GTAAATAAGATAATGTGTATTCTAAGATGCAAGAAACTCTCTGTAAGCCAAATAATTTATATAAACAACATAGTACTTCTTTCTAAGCTCGAATACCTTCTAGCTAATATATGCTTCAAAAAAAAAGCTTGTAATTCAATATATTAACTGATACTCAGACTTATAAAATAGAAACTTGAGCTCCCTTCAACATGTGCAAATACAACTCTCTAGTACAAAAAGATTTTTGGAGTAGTAAGCTTATAGTAAAAACATATTGAATATCATATATCAGAGCTTATTAGAAGAATAAATTCTAATGGAATCATAAACAAAACAATAATAATAAGATTAAAACAGTCATAGCTAGATATAGATATAGCAGAGTATATATTACTATTCAAGAATATAAAATAGAAAAAAACAAAATACAAAAACCTAGAAGCTAAAATATTGCAATATGCAAAAAAACTGATGCTAAGTATTATAGAAAATAAATTTACAGAAAGTTAGAACTTCGCAAACTTACAAGAAGAAGAAAACTGCTTAATCAGCAATATTCTCAATAAATATAATATAAAGAAAGTATAAATAGATATAAGTAAACTCAACTTAGAATAATAAATCAACTTCTAGATGATAAACAGAAAAAAATAGTTACCTGAAGACAACTCAAAATAAGAGAAGGAAAAAGATATATAGGTAAAAAAGTAAAATAGTTTAAGGTATTAGAGAGAGAAATATTAGAAAACTAAGAATCAAAAAAGGTAAAAGAAGAATATAGAGAGAAAAAAGGTTTTCAGATACAAAAAACAAAAAAGAAAATTTTATAAGACAAGAGAAAAAAAGAATGAATCCTTATAAAAGGAAAGGAAAACAAGGAAAGCAAGTTTGAATATATTATTAGAAAAGAAAAGAAGCTAGTTAAAGTTGAAATTTGGAAAAAAGATAGTAAGAATATTTTTCAAAAAGACAGCTAATCAAGAGCATATGATAACAGTTTTAAACTAAGAAGAATTGATCAAAAACAAAGAATTCTTCTAAGAGAAGTACATAATATCTCAAGTTTCATATAGAAAAAAGATAATATACTACAGGTAACATTTAACAAAGAGTACCTAGAATAGAGATTAGAACTAGTTTTATTTATAAAAACAAATTTACTTACTTGTTCAAATCAGACCTGAGTTTAATTTGAGTTTAAATAAAACCAGTTAATTTGGTTTTGCAGCTATAATAAATTCACAAAACTAAATTAATCTGAATTTAATAAAACTGAATTTGCAGTTGTAATAAATTCACAAAACCAAATCAATCTGAATTTAATAAAACCGAATTTGCAGTTATAATAAATTCACAAAATCAAATAAACTCAAATTTAAAAAACTGAATTTTGATAAATACAAAATAGAAATAAATTAGAATTATTGTAATTTAATTCAATAGAAGACATTAATGAATATTAATAAAAAAAACAATTCTCTTTAAAAGTATCTGATTTTTATTCAACTTATGATGATTTATCCAATACTTGTAAAAATTTTAAAGATCATTAAAAGAAAGACTTAAATTATACAAAAAAATGCAAACTCCAAAATACTATGATATAACTAACTGACTTATAAATTATATTACTGATGTTCAACTTTAATATATCTGAAGATTGAATGTCTATTGCAGACTTATTTGTAAAAACTATTTGGTATCATATTATAAAAGTATATATTTATTTTACTTTATTTATATTTGTAATATAATTTATACAGTATCTAATAATAATAAAGTGAAGAAGTAATAAAGGTAACAGTGAAGTTAATTATAAAAATACTGAAATCGATAATAATAAAAATTACAATATTATGATAAAACAAAGGCAACAAATATATTTATCTGATCTCATAACTATTTACTCTTTATCTATAATAGCAATACTCAAAGTTTTCAATAGTTTAAATTTTAATTTTACTAATTGAACAGTAAAATTAAAATTTTTCTTAAGTTAAATAATTTAAAATCTTTAATATACATTTTAAAATGCTGTAATAGCTAGCTGGGTTGTTAAAGCCTATTTAATTAGGATTCATTTTCTAATATTAAATTTATGTTATATATATTTTAATAAAAGAATTTTGATCATGCTATTAGCTAGAACAGAAAAATTGACTACTGCTAATATTCTTTGAATGAATTATTGAATTCAATATGAGTACTGTCAAGGAAAAATGGCACTTTGGGTTTTTAAATATATTATTGATTATTTATCTAATTCAGCTCTTCTAATTAAAAACACATCAAGCTTTCAATTTTATAACAAATTCCGTATAATATAAAGTATAATATTAGAAAGGCTGAATTAGATAATATATTTAAAAACTAAAATAGCATTTTCTTTTAGTAGCATTTGGTTTTGTAAAAAACTAAATAACTTATCAAATCAGAAGATGAAAAGCAGCTCCACACTCGAACTTTCAGAGAATGTTTAACAACTAACTAAGTACAATTACATTAATATTATTTTGTTGCAAATTTGATTATTCTTTGCTCATATTTTTTAGTAGTAATTCTTTACTACTGATTGCATAAGTCCTTAGTTACATCTATCTACTAACCCAATAAAGTACTGTTTTTTTTTTTATCACTGCCAACTTAACCTTTTTTGTTGTTATAGTAGTTCAGACTTTGAACCTTTAGAGTGGGTATATAAAAAAAAGATTCTATATCATTTATATATCAGAAGCAACATTTATTGAATATCGAACTAGTTAAAGTTTGATGATTATTTGTTGTGTCTCTATCTTTTATATTTGAGTACTCAAGAAGAAAAATTATTAAGTAAAAATTATCACATAAAAATTGTTATACTAGTAGTATTACAAATTTTATTAATTTAATCAACATATGTAGCTATATAAAAAAGTAAAAATTTTATTATGTTAATTGATATTTATATCTTAAATAAAGTTGTTCAGATAACAAATTATATATGTTTTAAGAAATTTATGTAATTTAAATAATTTTTTATTAAGCTATTTTTGTAGTTCACAATATAAGAAAATTTTAAAAGTTTTTTACTATAATTAAATATAAAATATAGAATTAAACAAAATGTTATTTAAATTACATAAAATTTTTATAACACATATAATTTGTTTTCTGAACAACTTTATTTAATACATAAATATTAATCAACTTAGCAAAATTTTGACTTTTGCATATAGCTACGTTTATTGATTATATTTTATAAAAATTAAATTTTGTTTAAAAATCAAATTTGCTTAGGTAAAAGATATTAATAATAAATTATTAGGTAATAGAAAATAAATAGCTCTCTTAAATCATTTAGGCTTTGAAATAACTAATAATGATTATTTATTATTTGAGTTATTTACTTTCTCTAATTAGCTAGTTAATTGTAAGTATTTGAAAATAAATACATATTTATTTTTATAATTTTAATATCACAGACTAATATTAATAAATCATATATATACATATACATTATTTGAATAGTATGTTGTAAAAGTATGGATTAGTTCTAGATTAAAACTCGTCTAGAGGTTTGGTTACTCAGAGATTTAAGATCAATGAATTTATACAAATAAATTCAAGTCAATCTAAAAATCTAATTAAGAGGTACTCTAGCTTGGATAAGGCTTGAAAGAGGCAGGTATAACTTGGTCTGAGTTTAGCACTAGTCTAAATTAAAAAAATCAGGAATCTGATTATTTTAAACTAATATATGCCTGATTGTTATTAAATTACAAATTTGTTATAACCCTGATTAATACAAATTTATATAATAATCTAATTTATATAAAATTACAAAATAATTAGTTCTGATTAATGTTAATTATTAGTGCAATTTAGATAATAATCAGAATTAACTAATATCAATTTGATTTTAATAAATTGTTTAATTTAATTAAAATTTAATAGTATATATTAAACTTTGTAATAGAGATTAGAATCGAATTTAAATTTTAAATTTGAACTTATTTAGTTTGAATTCGAATTAATTCGAATAATTCATATAAATTTATACAAAATTCAAATTTACTAATTTGTATATTAATTCACATAAATAGTTCTAACTATTAGAACAGTTAGGCTATTAAAAAAAATTTATAATAATTGAACAGTTAGGACAGTTTTATAACTGTTAGAGTATTTTTATAATAGTTAGACTATTAGAATAGTTTTTGGTAATGTTATACCTTCTCATAATTCTAATAATTCATATACAATTAGTACTAAATAGTGATTTATTTTGTAAAGCTTAACTTTATTAGAACCTAGTAAAAATCTAAATATAAGCATATTTTCTTTTTTAAACCTTATATCACATGGAAAATTATATATAGCTCTGTAAATTATACTACAACTATATGCTGAAGATTTAAATAGCTAGAATCAATTAAGATTAATTAAAATTTCTAAGTTACGATCTGCTATTTCTGGTGTAAAGAAATAGAAATTATCTAAACTATCAATTTGAGAAGGAAAAGTTTTCCAAATTTTTCTATCATAGATATCAGAACTTGTATTAGTATCTCCAGACCGATTTGTCTATATTTGAAGTAGTGTGTTAAATCTATTTTATTAGTATATTAAAGATAATTAAGATTTTATACTTGGTAGTAGATATTGCATTTATAGTTGCTAAATATGTCTTTTTACTATTAAAATCTTTTTTAGTAACTTTTTACCACAAGGTTTTCACTAACTTGGTTTTGAGTGATTGGAAAATTCCTTATATATGTATTTAAAACTATTAGAATCTTGATTATCTGATATTACTTCTGTTGTATTATATAATTTATTATATTTAAAGCAAACTATAAATGCTTTATATTGTTTATTAAAATTTAATATTTTTCGTGCAAGGTCAATATTTGATGAAAACTTTACAAACTGGCTTTTATCAATATTGTTTAAAATTATGTAAAGAAAACTGATAAGAGCATCAGTTACTATATTTGATAGTTGAAATCTTTCTTGAAATTTAAAAACCATATAAGAATTCACAATAAATCATCAAGATTTATATTAGACTCAGGAATATAGGTAGGTTTATTGAAATTAACTTTAGGAGTATGAAATGGATTAACTGAACTACTTTTTAAATATTCAATTTCTTCATAAAGTTCTAAATCGTCTGAAGATATTAACATCACATTTTCTGAGTTATTATCACTATTATTTTCTATTATACTATTACTATTATCCAAAAACTCAATATTCTTAAAGTGATTACTATTATTATTATTATTCAAAAACTCTATATTCTCAAAATGATTACTTTTATTGATATTAACTAATTCAGTTTTATTTTTATGAGGCTTTAACTTGGTATAGTTTACTTCATCAATATTGCTTTGACTTTTTGTAGACCAAAATTGATTATATATTTTTCTTTTTTTTGTAGATATAAGAGATGATGTTTGAACTTAGTTAGGTGTAATAGATTTTATTGCCAACTTTACATCATTAAGACTAATTTCACCTTGATCATTATCTTTTGATTGTACTGAGCTCTTAGCATATATAGTTTGATAACTATTTATTTTTCTTTTCTTAATGAACTCATTTTGAAAAGATGCTTCTACTTCTTTATACTGCTTTTTTGTTCTCGTATTGACTATATATCCATTAGAATTTTTATAACAACATTCTTTGCAGCAACATTTAACCTTTTGTCGAACTCTAATATATTGTGACATAATAAAGTTAAGAAGAAATTAAGAATAAAATAGTAATAATATTATTTAGAAGAAAAAGATATAGTAATAGGTTGTGTTACTATATTGTCATTTATAAGCAAAAAATAATATTAAAAAATAATAGAAAATAGAGTGATAAAGATTGTTCATATATCAATCTTGCAAGAATTAATATATATATTTATTCTAGGTTCATAGTTTATCAACTAAAATATTCTTTAATTTATACTTAGTATAATTGACAAGCTAAATTTATTAACATGTTTTATTCAATTTCTAGAGCACTAAAATTCAGAATTATATATCATGATATTCTAAGTACTTCAATTACAATTAAATTTAAAAAACAAAAATATTTTTAATTCAAAATTGTAGTAAGATTTAATTAATTTATTTTAGAAAAAAAATTGATTTCTAGCTTATCTGCTTGAAATAATATAATAAATATGAAATAATAAAGCACTATAGCATCTAGGTTCTTTATATTAGAAAAAAAAGCATTATTAATTAAGAAAAATCAATACCACTAAAATCTTCAAATACTATTTAGTAGATATTCTAACTTTTTATCACTGAGCTAAAAAAAACAAATATTATTTTGGGTACAAAGGTGGTATATTGAGTAATTTATATTGATATTGATATTGAATACTAAATTAAGGAGTATTGTGTCATCTAACAAATTATTTAGTTAAAAATTTTAATTTAAAAAACTTGTTTCTTTTGTTCTAAATTGATATAGTGTAGTAAGCAAATAATTGTTTTAAAATAATAATAATATGCATAACTATATGATTGACTAAATATTAATTTATTTAAAAAAGATATTTAAAACAATAGGCTGCATTCTCAAATGAATAGGTATTTTTTGTACTGTAAATTATGAAGCAAATCTATAAAATGCTCCATTAACAAAATAATAATAGTGTTATTAGGTAAAATCTAGAGGTTTCACTATAGGCAAAAGTCAAAACTAGTTTTAACTTTTGCTAAAAAAAATAAAAATAAAATAGTGAAATAGTGAAACTGCTAAAATTAGAAAAAGTAATAAAATTAGTAAAGGATAAGAAAATTAGTAAAGTAATTATATATATATCTAAAGAAAAAAAAATAATAGATATTAAAATATATATTAATAAAATAATTATTTATAAACTTTATAAATTAAATATATAATCATATAATGATCATAAAAGACCTTCATGATTAGATTAATAGATTTTGATTCACTATGGTATATCTAAAGAAAAGAAAATAATAGATATTAGAGTATTATTAATAAAATAACTACTTATAAACTTTAAAAAATAAATATATAATCATGTAATGATTGTGAAAGACTTTTACGATTAGATTAATAGATTTTAATTCGCCTTATTATATCTAAAGAAAAGAAAATAATAGATATTAAAGTATGTATTAATAAAATAATTATCTATAAACTTTAAGAATTAAATATATAATCATGTATTGATTGTGAAGGACCTTCATAATTAGATTAATAGAATTTATAAACTTTAAGAATTAAATATATAATCATGTATGTAATGATTATGAAAGATCTTCATGATTAGATTAGTAGATTTTATAAACTTTAAGAATTAATTATATTATCATATAATGATCGTGAAAGACATTCACGATTAGATTAGTAGATTTTATAAACTTTAAGAATTAAATATATAATCATATAATGATCATGAAGGAACTTCACAATTGGATTAGTAGATTTTATAAACTTTAGGAATTAAATATATAATCATGTAATAATCATAAAGGACCTTCATGATTGGATTAATAAATTTTATAAACTTTAAGAATTAAATATATAATTATATAATGATCGTGAAGGACCTTCACGATTGGATTAATAGAATTTATAAACTTTAAAAATTAAATATATAATCATATAATGATCATGAAGAACCTTCACAATTGGATTAATAGATTTTATATAATTTAAAAAATAAATATATAATCATATAATGATTGTGAAGAACCTTCATAATTAGATTAATAGATTTTATAAACTTTAAGAATTAAATATATAATCATGTAATGATCATGAAAGACCTTCACGATTGGATTAATAGATTTTATAAACTTTAAGAATTAAATATATAATCATGTAATGATCGTGAAGGACCTTTACAATTAGATTAATAGAATTTATAAACTTTAAGAATTAAATATATAATCATGTAATGATCATGAAGGACCTTCATGATTGGATTAATAGATTTTATAAACTTTAAAAAATAAATATATAATCATGTAATGATCGTGAAGGACCTTCACAATTAGATTAATAGATTTTATAAACTTTATGAATTAAATATATAATCATATAATAATCATGAAGAACCTTTACAATTGGATTAATAGATTTTAATTTACTGTAATATATCTAAAGAAAAGAAAATAATAGATATTAGAATATATATTAATAAATAACTATCTATAAACTTTAAGAATTAAATATATAATTATGTAATAATCGTGAAGGACCTTCACAATTAGATTAATAGATTTTATAAACTTTAAAAAATAAATATATAATCATGTAATGATCATGAAGGATCTTTATAATTGAATTAGTAGATTTTATAAACTTTAAGAATTAAATATATAATCATGTAATGATCATGAAGGATCTTCATGATTAGATTAATAGAATTTATAAACTTTAAAAAATAAATATATAATCATGTAATGATCATGAAAGACCTTCACGATTAGATTAATAGATTTTATAAACTTTAAGAATTAAATATATAATCATGTAATGATCATGAAGGATCTTCACAATTAGATTAATAGAATTTATAAACTTTAAGAATTAAATATATAATCATATAATGATCATGAAGGACCTTTATAATTAGATTAATAGATTTTAATTCACTGTAGTATATCTAAAGAAAGGAAAATAATAGATATTAGAATACATATTAATAAAATAACTATCTATAAACTTTAAGAATTAAATATATAATCATGTAATGATCATGAAGAACCTTCACAATTAGATTAATAGATTTTATAAACTTTAAGAATTAAATATATAATCATGTAATAATCATGAAAGACCTTTATAATTGGATTAATAGATTTTATAAACTTTAAAAAATAATTATATAATTATGTAATAATCATAAAGAACCTTCATAATTGGATTAAGTACTATTTATTTCTTTAGTATAGTCAAATAAATAAGTTATTCCATGTACTATATACAACATGATGATAATTAATATTATAAATCACATACTTATCACTACAAAAATAAACTTTAGACCAGATATAAATACAATTTTTTTTTTGTGAAATTACATTTCATCTTTTATTGAATTTTTACTTTTCGCATTCTTTATTTACTAGAATTTTACTTTTTTCACTTAGATTTCTTTTATTAGTTTTTTTTTCAGCTAAATAATGAACTAAGATAAATTAAATTTTACTTCAGCTACACAACTATATAACTTAAGGTCACATAAACAAACAAATAATTCATTCAATTCAGATACTACTGCTACTTCTACTAAAGATATTAATGATCTTAACAAATCTAGTGATGACAAAGTCTATACTATACATTTATTTATTTATTTGTAAATTATATAATTTATATAAATTACTATATAATTTTTTTTTAGAAACGATTTGTTACACCTTCTCAAAATGATATTAATCATATGATAAATTATGCTATTGTAAAGAACACAACTTATAATACTCAAACTTGAGTTAATGCAATTAATAAATATTTAAAGGATATAAATCTTACAGATGATATTATATAGATTAAAGATTACTCAGAATTAGAAAATATTCTTATCTAATTCTTTGTAGCTTTAAAAAGAAAAGATAGCAAACTTTATGCATCTATATTAATCTATAACTGTTATTGTAGAATTATACATTATTTGCAAATAAACTTATATCAAAATCCCAAACTAAACATACTTGATAAAAACCAATTTTCATATTTATTTGCAACAATTGATAGAAAAATCAAATTGGTTCAGAATACAAATCTACAACAAACAAATAAAAGTGATTCATTTACCCAAGATAAAATCATTCAAATATTGAATAATAAAAATCTTTTAGAAGATATACCAACTTCTAGTGTTGTATATTTTTGATGTCCAAGCTATATAACTTGAACACAGATATTGTTAGATATTGTCTGATGTCTGAGTCTGAGTTATGTCTGAGTAATATATTATCACTCAGGTAATATCTGAGTTGTATAACTTGAACTTAGATATGAATAAATTATCATTATTTATGTACAAAGAGTGTTTTACAGATTTCTTGATTAATATCGATAAATTTTTATTCATTTTAGCACTTATTTTTAGTCTAGTTTGATACAGTAGTTTAAAATATATTTGTTTGATAAACAAATTTGTTTGTTCAAGTCTGAGTCTGGTCTAGATTCAGTCTGAGTATGAGTGTAGTTTAGTTTGAGTGACAATACTACTAACTTCTATTATATATTAAGTATATTTTTGCCTATATCTTCTAAGTAGATTACAAGATAGAGATGCTAAGTGACTTAAATTTGATCATGTTAAAATAATACAGATAAGACTTTAAAAATTACTATTCCTTATATAAAGAATCATATAGGTAGTTTAAAAAATTTTAGTAATGCAGGTCAAATATGTCAAATATCTCCTGATATGTATGATTAGTTTACTTCTGTTTCAGATATTTTATATTATATGTTTTGTTGAGGAACTTACTTTAAATCTGAAGAATTTTTTCTTCAAATTATTTCTGATAATAGTATTTTACTTATAGTAAATTTTTTATTAATATATTTTTTTCTAATTAAATTTTTTTTTTATAGATTTTGCAAAAGGTATTTGGTTTTATTTTTTTTTTGTTATTAAGACGGCTTACATTGCCGAAGGAATTTTATTAGAATTGCATACAGGATATACATTGATAATCTCTACTGTTTGTAATTACATGAAAAGTGTACAACA